AATTGGGGAGGCGTGGTAGCATAAAGGTTGGAAAGCGCTGATTTAATGTATAAGTTTCATACGAACGCCATCACGTGTCAATATGATGAATTAAATGTTAAAAAAAAAACAATGAGAGTTTCTTCTTCTTTTTTTTTTAATTTTTGTTATTTTTTCTTTGTAAAAATGGTAAATGTAACTGTCATTTAATGTATCTGTGTGTGTAGTGGGTGGACTATCGTTGCTTAATATGTCATTTGCATAGAGCGCGCCATCTCGTTCGTGTGCGGTATTCATTTGGATTGCTTTGATCTTAACTTACGGAGCGGAGCGGAAATAAATCGAGCATGGTAAATTAACAGTTTAGATGCGGCTTATAATAACTCCCGAATAGTTTCTGTGAATGCACGTAAATACACTCAGCAACAGACACACACATATATATATATAAATACAAATGCATTGTGCACATGCTGCTTTCGTCTCCCCCCTGGGCTTTCGATTTAAGCGCCGCATTTCCCAAAGCCCCACTTGTGCTCTTCCACTCCACCCCCCTCACTTTAGAGCTCCTCAAATACAGATATATACACCGCCCCCAGCCCCCTCACCTAAAACACAGGGGATTATGCATGTAATAATTCCGCGTATAAGCTCACTAAACGTATCTAGCAGACGATAGATTCTAATTCCAGACAGAATCATTGTCATGCCTCTGCCGCCTCTTCTACCGCCCCCCCAACCCGAGCTCGTCGTGTCAGCCGTTTATGACATGCTTTCCACACAGTATAACACACACACATACATAGTAGGGACAAACACAGAGAGAGAGAGAAGCGATGATATCGCATTATCGCAACATGCGCCGGCTCTATGTCCCATATTGCTCAGCAATCTGTGCTAGTGAGGGTTTGAGGGGGTTTGTTTCGGGTTATTAAGGCCATTTACAGCCCGCCGGCTCGTGTTGCAGCCTAATGCGCGGCTATCGAAATTATTAATAATTAATTAAAACCAATAACATTTTTTTTGGAACGAGCGCCGTAATCAATATCGTGTAGTGTGTTTTTTTATTTCTTTAGCTGTATTAAATGAGAGTCTGAGCATCTCATTATCAGAACAGATATCGGAATAAATGCGAATATAATGCACCCATAATAATGATGAATGTTATAATCTACTTAAATTTAAGCGTTTAAACGTATTCAATACCTTTTATTCAATTTTATAACAACTTTTATTTATTTATTCTTTACATTTATTATTAGTTTACTGATTTTTTTTTAATTTAATTATTTTTTTTTATTAATAATAATATTTATTGAAACAATACAATTAATTTTGTTTTGAAATTTTCAAACAGACAAAAATAATGAATTTTTTCATGATTTTCAAATACTACGAATTTTGTCTTAACTTTACTAATATTGATATGCAGTTTCTTCTGTTTGATAAGAAAAAAGAACATTTTTTGTAAATTGGGAAATCTTTTTGTGACTTTTTTGTAAATAATGGTAGAAAATATAATAATAACGGTTTAGAAATGTTGTGAATGTTGTTTTAGCTTTAGTGATTTTGATATGCATTTGCTTCTGTTTGGATATCGTTGAAAGTTTACTGATTTTCGGTAGTAAAAGAAAAACTAAAACTTTGGTAGCTCTTTGTCGGATGTTTGGTAGAGGAAGAGCAACAACAATAATCGCTTGCTTGGATTCTTCCACTAACGGGAACAATGGACGATTTCGGTGCAATCGCGTAGGCGATCGTTGCTGAACAATGTTTAATTAATCTCGGGGTCACGTGTGTCCTCTACTCTCTACTCTCTATCAGGTCGCACATAATCAGTGGATGAGAGAGAGTTAAGGTTAATTTGACCGGAGACAAAGGGATCGATTTTAGGTGACTTCGATGATAACATCGAGGGTGTATTTAGAAGAAAAGGCGGATTGTAAATCATTTATTTGTGCGGCCAACTTTCCGTTTATCGTCGCCCTTGAAGCGCTTTTCGTGAATCCCCTAGAGGGGGTGGCGAAAGAGACGGAGGCGGCGGCGGCGTTCGGGAACAGACAGATTTTAAGCCAGATCCCCGAACACTTACGCTTAATCCGCGGGCTTAACGCTACGAAAAAAAGAGAAGAAAACGTAACGTGAAAAGAAACGACAGATGGGGGTAGATGAAAGTAGATAGATAGAAACGATAAAAGCTTACCTTCCCATGTACTCGCACCACCAAAAGATTTTAAAATGATCGAAAGACATCACCGGATATCCGGAAATTAATTGGTGACCAATCACAGATGATGGTTTCAGTGTGTGTATGTGTGTATGCATAAACAGGTGCCGTGATTATTGTTTGTATCGGTTGCGGTTTCCGGCTCTAATTGCGTCACTTCACGTCGAGAAACAGCGAAGCATTTCTGCAAAACGGAAAACGCTCGAATACGTACGATATATATAGTAAGCTATACAGATGTATAAAAGGGGGCCGTAAACTCGATCACATTTGTGTCACGGATCAGCGATCGCGACGAAAGTTTTTCCCCGAAATCAGACTACAAATAACCGGCGAGACGTTTCAAAGGAAATTCGATTCCATTGAAAAGGAGTTGCTAGAGTGAAGCAGAAAAAGGCCAGAAGTTTTCATTTTTACGCTCCAGTTTTCCTCTCTTTGCCCCTTATTTCTTTGCGATTATAATACACGGTCTTACGTCGATGTTCGTATGGTTAACCGCACCCTCCAAAAACAATGTATCAGTTTCCATCCGCACAAATAAAAACATTATCTTAGCAACTGTCAAATGTTAACAGTTATCTTTGCTCGTTCATTTCATTTCTTAACAAGAACAATAGCAAGAAAAGTTGCTACAAGCAAAAAGTAAAAAAAAAATCAAATGAAGAGAGAAACTCAAATATAATGCATAAAATTGTTTATATAATTTTCCAAATGTTTTAACGTAAAGCAAGGCAATGTGAGATTTGCGATTAACAGAATTATAAAACAAATGGTTTAATTTGTTTTGTAAACAAAAGAGAGATCCAAATATAATATGCTCCAATTCGTTTAAAATCCTAACATTATTATTTTACGTATTTTTTTTTTATGGAAATTTAGAATTCTCGCCTACTTCGAGTGCGCGTCGTAAATTTTGCGGGTAATAAAAATTAACCGGATTAATTAGCGGAAATAATAAATGATAATTTACGTGTTCTACATTTCCCCAAAAAAAAATGGAAGAAAAAATGTACGAAAATGCGAATCCCGCTCCTAATTGAAAAATCCACCTCCTACCTCCCTCGGAGCGGTAATTAACAGAGAAAAAATCCATTACGAACGTATGGAAATTGAACCGAGCCGAGGGAAAATGGAACGACGAGAGTGGATTGAAACCGTTTTGCAATTTTCACCGCAGGAAAAATTTTGTCTTTTGCACGTTATTTTTTGTTTTTTGTTTTTTTTGTCATGTAACATCATGAATATTCTCTGTGCATGGACTAGTTTTGAGCGAGTTTACATATCGTTTGCGTAAAAGAATAAATAGTTTTTTTCGATTTCCTTAATTAAATCTAGTTTCAAAGAATTTCTTGAAATTCAATTGATCAATTTGAATTTGTCGTATTTATGAGTGTATTGAATGAATGAAAGACATTTTCGAAGTTGACTTAGGAATTGTGAAATTAAGGTGTGTGCTCGGCGGGGATCGTGAAGTATTCCCGGCTGCTGCAATTAGTGCGAATTTCATTGAATGGAAAATTGAGAGGAGAATTGGGGGAGGTTTTGCGTGATGCGATCGAAACGGATAAAACCACAGCTCATACTCATAGCATTCCTCAAATATCCAACTTTAATATGCATATTTTGTATTGATTCTATGTATTATAGTTTTCGAGAAAATCAGAAATAATAATTGCATTTGATCATTTTTTTTGTTTAATTAAATTTTCGACGTTTTGAGTTGTTTGTAATATTTGATAAATTTTAATCCAAATAAAAGTGTTAAATCATTTAAATATTCCATAAAAAATGAAGTAATTATCGAACAATTTCCTTCTGTGGTTTTAAAACGCGAATCACAGGTTGCTATGAAAGTTTAAACAATTCTTATTGGATGACGAAAAGAAAAAGTAATAAAGATCAAATCAAACATAAGTTGCGTCCTTTAACCTTTCCACTGTTTCAATATATAAATAAATACTAAATTGTTCAATTAATTAAAAATGTATCTTTATAATATTTATCTTTATACTGTTTATGCTGCCACCTAGCTTAAGGTACGAGAAGTTTCAGTGACAGCATGTTAGATGGGTTGCCTCTATTTGATTACGTCTAATATAAATTATATAACAGATTATCTAGCTGTAAAATAGAAAAAATATAATACATGAGTAGCAAGAACATTACCTTTTCTAATTTGTTGTTCAACTTCTTGCAGTCTCTGGTTTTTTTCTCTATGTTGGCTCCTCCGTACTTGCATAATCATAGTCCCATTTCTCTCCAACATATTCGAACGCTGAATTTGAACATCGTGCATCCTTGTCGTTGGCAAACTTTGTCCACTTGGTGTCAGCACTGATTCTGTCAGTCAGACATTTGTAACCTTCTTCGATCTTCTCTAAATTCTCAGTGTAAGAAATAACCCACGAAGATGCTTTCCAGGGCCGCCCTCCTCTCAGGTAAATGATAATTACGATTATGCTGTGGACGCGTTTTCCAGCAAATCCAGAACGATTATGCAACGCGATCGCCGATCGCACTTTATTTAACGCCACTCTGGTTATGTAACAATTGAAAATTGCTATCTCCAGGACAACAGAACCGCGCTCTCGTCGCCTTGGCCGCGAGGACCACCGGTACCACCGCCTGCAACAATGTCGCCGCCAGCTGCGACAGCCAGGTCGAGATGACGAGACCTGTAAGTAGATTTTGAAAAATCCAATTGGATTTGATCGATGATTTTTACTGTAGGTCAGGATGGAACCTGGTAAAGTTCGTATGGGATTCATCCCTGAAGAATGGTTCAACTTCTTCTACAAGAAGACAGGTGTAACTGGACCGTACACTTTGGGATTCACCCTCAGCACCTACCTGCTCAGTAAGGAGATCTACGTGCTGGAGCACGAATTCTACTCCGGTCTCTCTTTGGCCCTGATGTGCGTCGTCGCTGTCAAGAAGATTGGACCTGGTCTTGCCAAGTACCTTGACAAGGAAATCGATGTGAGTTGTTGCTTGGTTACAATTTGCATGTTTGATGTTAATTGTTGTTGTTTTTTTCAAGGCCTACGAGACTGAATGGAACGAGAGCCGCGTCAACGAGAGGCAGGTGCTCGAGCAGCAGATCGGCAATGAAGAGAAGATGCAGTGGAGCGCCGAGGGACAGAACATGATGGTGCAAGCCAAACGCGAGAACGTCGCTCTTCAACTGGAGGCCGCTTACCGTGGTCGTGTGATGACCGCCTACCAGGAGGTCAAGAAACGTTTGGACTACCAAGTCGAGATCCAGAACATCGAGCGTAGGATTGCTCAGAGGAACCTCATCGATTACGTCGTCAGGAGGGTCATGAGCTCCATCACCCCGGACCAAGACAAGAAGAACATCGACAAGTGCATTGCCGATTTGAGTTCCCTGGCCAAGGCTTAAACATTAAAAAAAAAACCTAATTTAATTCGGAGAGAGAGAGTAGTTTCCGTGTCTTTTTACTTTATACCATCATCTCTACTGATTATTATATACCTCTAAGATCGAACTTTTATTGTCTTCTTTTATTTTAAAGAAATATATAATAATAGAATATACAAATAAAAACGGAAAGATGTTTAAATAACTTCCTTTATTATTATTATCAGTATCATCTTATAAACTTAAATAACTCGGAACAATTCAATATCTTTGCTTCTTTCTTTATTAATAATAATAATATAGGTGGTATATAAAAAAATAAACTGAAGAATGTTAAAAATCAATCGTAAGTCCTCTGGAAACTCTTTTCGTGACTCCTCCGATTGATGTCGTGCATCTTCGTGACCTGATCCAGATGCGTGCTGATCTTCGTTGTATTTCTGTCGATCCACTGCAGCGAATTCATGTGGGCGTTCAGGATCTTCCCGATCTGGGTGATCGGATTGGACAGCTCCTGCGTTTTGTTGGCTTCGTTCAACTGTTCGATGATCTCCTTCAGATCCTCCGACATTTGTTTCAATTGCGTATCCATGGTTTCCGCCAACTGATACGTGTGATTCCTGTCCAGATCTGTGATCGGCAGCTCGTTCAGTTCCTTCTCCAGCGGCGCAATAAGATCCTCGAGTTCCTTCTGCTGCGCCAGCACGAAATCCAATTCCTGATCGAGATTCTGCTGCTGCTGCTTCACCCTCTCGATGCTGTTATTCAATGAAAGCACCTTCTCCCCGTTCGAGATGAGCAGTCTGTCCCAGGCGTTCAGCTGCTTCGCCTGATTTCCAAAAAGCTTGCCCTGCTCCTCCAAATCTATGGTCCACTTGTTGATGGCGTCCTCCAACTGTGCGAACGTCAACGTCCCGGTGGGCGGAACAACGCTCGCACTTGTCAGGCTGCTAGGCAACGAAGTCGTCGTCGCGGTGGTTGTCGCCGCCCCCAATGAGAAACCTGCCGACGTTGTGGCCGCTGCGGTCGCGCTCGGCATCGAAAAAGATAAGGTGCTTTTACCTAGACCCAAACCGGGAGCGGCGGCGGCGGTCGCAGCTGGTGTAGGCGCAGCTCCGCCTAAGCTGAATCCACTAGTCGAAGACGCCGGAGTCGTGGCTGGTTTGGATAAGTTAAAGGCTAACGGAGCTGCAGTGTTCGCCGCCCCCAAGCTGAAGGTGGGCGTTGCCGTACTGGTCGCCGCTCCGCCCAAATTGAAACTAGGTGTTGCGGCGCTGGCCGCAGGTGTCGCCGCCGCGCCTAAAACAAACCCAGACGATGCCGGTTGCTGCTGAGTGGGTGGCACGAAGTTTAGCGTCGGAGCTGCTGCTGCAGCTCCAAAAACTGACGGTGCCGGCGTCGAGGCTGCAGCTCCGCCCAAATTGAAGCTGGGGGCGGGTTTATTGACGGCAGACAAATTGAAACTCGGCGCTGGAGACGCCCCTAAAACAAAATCACACAAATTATAATAATAATCATTGAATCAATTAGAAAGCTACAGTTGCCACAATTTACCTAGAGTGAAAGAACTTGCAGGTTTGGCTGGTGTTCCGGAACCAAAACTGAAGTTCAGACCGGCCTGCGGGGCGGCAGCAGCTGGAGTTCCAAAGGCCTTCGTCTTGGCATCACCGCCAGCGTTTCCGAAACTGAAACTGGGTGCCGGTGCATCTGTAAATAATTGAAGGAAAAAAAAAATAATGAGAGAGGGCATGAAAAATTGAGGTTAAGTCTGAATCCTGAATTCCTCTATTAATCTTTCGTTAATTTCCATTGGATTTTACCTGTTTTCGGTGTCCCAAACGAGAACGACATTTTTATTTACTTCGCACGACCTCTCCCAATGCAATTCACCACAAAAACTATACTACAACAAGGAAGAACCGCCAAGACCACTCTCTTCCGTTGACATCTGACAAACAAAACAATTGTTTTGTTAGGCAACCAACATATCATCGAAGCTAATTTTAAGAAGAATTCAATATTTGAAGAAAAAAAAACATGTTATTAAATTGTATCAATTGTAATTATTAAATATTAAGTTAAAATTACTGTTAAATTTTTTTGAAAAAATAACATAATTGATCATGTATTGTGAGTTGCCTATTATAATAAATGAAAATATTTTGTGATTATCTTCTGTAATTCGCTTACAATACAACAGGTGGCATTAATGATTAGTTGTATGAAATATTTAAAAATTTGAATTTTTATAATTGATTCAATTCACAAATTTACTTTTTTGTTATTATAGCAATTGTTTCATTGACAATTTCTAAGTTTTATATAAACTTTTATATCAAATGGTTGATCTTTATTTTTGTTTTATTTCATAAGATCACGCAATTACGAATATAGGATAGGCCGTGTTCAATTGTTCTCGCTCTTTAGCGTTACCTTGGCAACGGTCAATTGCGTAATTTTATTGCTTAGAAACGTACTTAATAACCGAGCTAAGTCTTATCCGCTTAAGTTCAGGAGTCACGCAGCGCGAGGTTAGGTTTTATTATGGTAAGTTCGCCCCCTCGGGGGGGATTGGGGAGACGCAATAAACACATAACGCGTGGAATTATCGATGCATCTAACACACATCTCACCTTATCGTGACAATAATAGTAGTAATAATAAAAAAAATAGAAGAAATAATAATAGTGGTGCACTTTTATTACGGGGGGGTCATAATGAAGCAATTTCATTTACACAACTCGGGGATAAGATAAAATAATAAAAAAGAAAGAATCGTGATCGATCCTTTAGTGAAACGCACATTTCGTGTCTGCGTTTAACTCTTCTTTAATTTTTACTTCTTCGTCTTTTCTTTTTTTTTATGTACGTAAACACAAGAGGCAAGAGCAAACAGTCGAACGGGATTCAAACAATTCCGAAATAAAAGTTGAAAAGTTCCGCTCCCCGATGAAATGTGTATAAAAAGAGAACAAATGAATTAGTGGAGGAAGAAGAAGAAGTAAAAAGAAACAAGAAACATCCTAAAAGCGTTTTCGCCGCTTGCTTTTCTTTATTATTACAATTTTAGACTTCTTCTTCTCTCGTGTTTTTCTTCTTCTTCTTGTTCTTCTTGGGATTCTCTGAGGGGGGCGAGAAAGAAGCAATTGATAATAAACTGGAGACGCGCGCGCGGATGCGGTCTCTTTGAACTCTCGCTTCTTTCCTGGAAACTGAGGATTCCCATCTTCATCTCACCATCTCTCACCATATACACACATTCAGACATATGTTTAAGAGAAGATTGAATCGGTGAAGAGAGAAAGAGATGAAAATTGATTGTATATTTTCCAAATTTGTTATCAATAGGCCTGTTTGCTCAGTTAAAAGCGAAACTCTGTTCCTCCTCTCTTTCTCTCTCTATTCTTTTTGATTGAACTTCGATGATGCCGCCACCGCCGCAATCCCCCAAAAACCATCAATATAATTATCTCACGATTATAACACCGTAGGAGAAAGAGAGTGAAGAAAAGGATCAATGTAAACAGCGAGGGTTGAAGGTCTTCAACATCTTCTACACCTTGACTTCTACAGGTCTCTCGGATGGACCAGCGGAAAGAAATGTCTTCAAAATGTCTCGTTTAGAAACGCAAATATTTGTCCAACCAATATTTGGAGGGAACAGAAAATTCTTCTTTTCCAATCGTCTTCTTTTTTTTTTCCTTACGTAAACGCAATCGGTGAACGTCCTCAACTCCTTCCATTTACATTCGTTCTTTCCCCGATTACTTTCATTCATTTGTGACGAATGCAAATTTTTAGAAATATGGATTTTCTGTTTACCAATTTGGAGGTTAGAATTTTACGTCAATTAATTAATTTTGAAAATTTGATTTTAATTAATCTTGGAAATTTAATTTTAACTTAATTTTTTAATTTTGCGTAACTTTTAAACATTTACAAAAGTGTAAAATCAAATTGGATTATTTCATAATGTCAAGTATTTTCAAATGAAAGTTGTTAAAAAGAGGTTAGGTTCGACATAGACTTAACTTAAATGTCAAAATCATTTAGAAACAAATGAAATTGCTTAAACATTTACAAAAGTGTAAAATCATATTGGATTATTTCAATAATGTCAACTATTTCCAAATGAAAGTTGTTAAAAAAAAAGGTTAGGTTTGACATTGACTTAACTTAAATGTCATTATCATCTAGAAACAAATGAAATTGCGTCCAATTTTGTCATGTTTTAAGTCAATTGGAAATGTCAAAATGACATTATAAAACTTTTGTTTTACTTAATTAAAATAAAACAAAATTATTTAGGATAATTTTTTTATATGGAAATTATTTAGAAATGCATTAAAATTACATGAATTATTTTCTATTCAACTGTTCGATGATTTCCAAATGAAAGTTGTTAAAAAAAGGTTAGGTTTGACATTGACTTAACTTAAATGTCATTATCATCTAGAAACAAATGAAATTGCGTCCAACTTTGTCATGTCTTCAGTCAATTGGAAATGTCAAAATGACATTACAAAACTTTTGTTTTACTTAATTAAAATAAAATATTTTTAATTTAGGATAATTTTTTTATATGGAAATTATTTAAAAATGCATTAAAATTACATGAATTATTTTCTATTCAACTGTTCGATGATTTCCATATGAAAGTTGTTAAAAAAAGGTTAGGTTTGACATTGACTTAACTTAAACGTCAATATCATCTAGAAACAAATGAAATTGCGTCCAACTTTGTCATGTCTTAAGTCAATTGGAAATGTCAAAATTTCATTATAAAACTTTTGTTTTACTTAATTAAAATAAAAAAAAAATATTTAGGACAATTTTTTTATATGGAAATAATTTAAAAATGCATTAAAATTACATGAATTATTTTCTATTCAACTGTTCGATGATTTCCAAATGAAAGTTGTTAAAAAAAAGGTTAGGTTTGACATTGACTTAACTTAAATGTCAATATCATCTAGAAACAAATGAAATTGCGTCCAACTTTGTCATGTCTTAAGTCAATTGGAAATGTCAAAATGACATTATAAAACTTTTGTTTTACTTAATTAAAATAAAAAATAAATTATTTAGGATAATTTTTTGATATGGAAATTATTTAAAATGCATTAAAATTACATGAATTATTTTCTAGTTTTGAAATATAGTAATTAATACTTTGTAAAGAAAATTTTACAATTATTCTTTGAAAACAAGTTAAATTTCTTTCAAAAAAAAATCATCTAATTTGTCTATATTCTTCAATTATTACGTAATAAAATGTGGATATTCAAGGGGGGGGGGGAAACAAAAAGTTGTTACCGATGCTTTTCGTTCTCGTTTGTTTTGCGTAACAATGGTTCGTTTATGGAAATCGTTTATTTTCGTGACTTTTGTTTCCTGCTTCATTTGTTTCGCGTACGCGGATATAATTGGCGCGATGTTCCGCAGAATTGTTGCTGCGAACAACAACAACAACTGATATGAAACAAACGAAATTGCGGTATTGTTCAGCGGTTTTCCATTCGTTGTTGTTGATCAAAGCTACCGTCGCGACGGCGTACAACGTCGGAGGAGCGTGTTGTTGTTGCTGTTGGAAACGTTCGGTGGGCGGAGACAGACGGGGGTGGGGGGCAGACAAGCGCCGCCCCCGATTCCTGTTGTTGGGCAACGTGAGCC